TTTCGTGAGTAAAAACCTCACTTCTTCGGATGCATCCGAAGAAGTGAGGTTTTTACTCACGAAAGCTTATGCCCAAATAAATCTGTTAGTCTTTAAGGTGCCACCAGACTCCTTGTTGTTTTTGTAGATACAGACTAACACGGCTACCCCCTGATACTTGACACCATGCAAGTTCCCAAAGAACTCTGATTGTGTTTTATCTTATTGTATCTCTCTCTCCCCTATCTTTGAACAATCGTCTTACCTTCTCCATGTCCTCTGAATAACAGTAGCAGCATAGTTCTTCTTCCGAAATAGCTCTTTTCTTGTTCTTTCCTTTTCTATTATCTGCATACGGATCTCTAATGGGATAAGTTCAATATTCATACTCTGACATGTGAGATGGGAACATAATCCATCATCCGCATTCTTGGACCCCGTTATATCTATTTTTTCCAAGTTCAGACTATCATCAAAAATAGCGCATGCTACTGGATCACTTGGCACAGGTCTTGTAGTTCCTGCTTTGATAGACAGTAAAGGGCAGGTCTTTTTTGCTAATTCATTATTTGCTACATTGTTAGTTTGTACCACGGCATGTGAACTGTCATTTCTGATGTTTACAAATCTCATTTTGGCACTTCCAGGTCTACTGGAGCCAGCTGGGGAACATCTCTCACTGTTTAACTCTTTTTTTCTTGCTTTCAGCATGCGCGGTTTGCCTTTTGATAGTGTTTCACACTGCCTTGAATTCCTTGAGTTTCCATCAGTGCAGTTAATATTCTGCAAGTGCCCTGTTGTTCCTTCACAATGGCTTCTGTTGCCAGCTATAGATTGACTTTGATCTGCTAATTTCTCCCCTGCACTGGCTGTGTTACAACAAGGGATGTGCTTTTCGTTGCCATGTGCTAAGCCTTTCGGGCTTGCAGACTGCTCCTTGTGCTTTTCACCATACCACTCTGTAGCCGCCACAACTTGATGGTTGGCTTCAACCTTGGCTCCATCATTTTCTTTACCACAATGGAAATGGACACACGCTGTCTTGCTTTTGGTGTGTTTTCTGGATAATTCTTTAGGGAGATAAATGAAAAATCAATGTCACGATCATTGATACTGCAAAAATGAGCTTATTTTTCCAATTCATTTTTTGCATAATAACCATTATGTGGCATACTGAGATTTAGAAATATGGAAAAAGAAAGTGAATAGGCCGGAAGTATTAGAGGGGAAAAACACCCACGGAATAAAAGGAACCTAACTTCTTTATTTGGTTACTCTGTGAACATTTAATTAATTTCTCTTGCTGACACAAAATTTGAATCAGATACCTAGACTAGCTCACACTGAGAAGTAATGTTCACCTGTTTTGATGTGTTGGCCTTCCTCGTGAACATGAATTCAATGTATGGTAATGGAACACCCAATCCTATTTACCCAACTGCTTGCTCTACTGAATAAAGTACAGCAGAGTACCACCACTCATAGCATGTCTAAGAAGTTTTCGATGTAGCTATGACGTATCCTGTTATGTAATGAAAATCCCACTCTATATACTTAGTGTAATCCCCTCCCACAGATAGTCCAGAGCACTCTGTGACAGGTTCCCCCCCGGGGTGCCACCTAGAACTGGAGTACCACTGAGCCCTCAACACACCAACCTGGGCTCCCTTTCACACTATGCTGCTGTGACAAGCTGCAAAGCCCTCCGATCTTGCACTTTCACCAGCATTCACACAGGTAGGGACACACCCAGTTGCAGTTACATGCAGGCTCTCTAACCACCAGTCTCCCAGCCTAGGACCCCAGAGCAGTACCATCCTGCCCTGGTCAAATCTGGCCAGTATATGGGTTTAATATCCGGTCCGCCTCTCCCTCAATGTGAAGAGGACCATGCACACTTGTGGTAAGCAAGCTGAGATTTCCCCCAGATACCTTAGTCAACCACACACTGGTTTGGATTAAAACATAAAATAAGTGTATTAACTTCAAAAAGGTAGATTTGAAGTGATTATAAGTGATAGCAAACAGACCAAAGCAGATTACCCAATAAATAAACAAAAATGCAAACTGAGCTTAACATACTAAATAGGTTGGATATGAATTAGCAAATTCTCATCCTGAGTGATAAACAGGCTGGCAGATTCTTAAGGCACAGGCTGCCTTTGCTTTGCAGCTTGGGTTTCCCAGGTTTTAATACACAGGTTGGAAATCCCTTTAGCCTGGGACCATCACTTCCCCCAGTTCAGCCTTTGTCCCTCAGGTGTTTCCAGGTGTGTTATTGTAGGGAGAGTGAGGTACCATCATGATGTCATTTCCCCCTCTTATATCTTCTTCCCACTTGCTGGAAAGCTCTTTTGCTGTGACCCGGGTCAAACAGTTCCCATTGTGTAGTGCTATCTCTGAGAGATTTCCATAATACACAGTTCCTGGGGTAATCCTTGTGCTTCTGTGCATTTCCTCAATAAGCCATTAACATTATTTGGTCTTTTTATTGTACCTGAAAGGCTGCTTGTGAGTGTTTTCAACCTCACAACATCAGTCCAATGAGATATTCATGTCTAGCAGACCAAGACTTTTAGAATGATACCTCACCAGGAATATTTGTACAAAATATATCCTAATTACATGACAGTGATGAATACTGGGGTGCCAGGGTGAAACACACTCAATTTCTAGATTCCTGCTCCAACATCCTAAATCAAACTACAAAAGTCCCAATTTTCCCTTGCTGTAAATTTTCTCTTTCCTATTTCCAGGTCCACGCTTGGGACAGCATGCCACATGTGACAATAGCTTCTAAACATTCTGGTGATAATGGCTTGGAAGTGGGACTGGAGCACAAAATGAAAATCCCTCAGATTGTTTGCTTTGGCTGCAATGCAGAATTTGCTTAGTAAGGAGCCCCGAGGGAGAACAGAGAAAAAGCTAGAGCACAGAAAGGAGTCAATACAGCATGCAGACAGAGCTAATGGATAGACAAGAGAGAGAAAAAATAAATTTGTTATTATTGTGTGTTTGATAAAATACAATCACAGTAGAGCCATAGAAAACGCTTAGGTTATACAGTCCAGTAAAGCACCTAAAAACCCACTGGGCTAAATTTATTCCTGATGTAACTCCTTTAACTTCAGTGGAGAAGTCAGAGATCTATTGTCTGGATAAGAGGTTATGGCATATAAACATTTGATTTACAGGTAGGAAACAGGGATTATTGTCCATAGTCTCGTCTTCGGGGCAACTCAGGGTTTGGTACATACCAAGACTGTTGTTACTCTTACTAATCTATCTGAACGAGATTGCCATGTAGGCAAATAGCCCAATGTGCTCTGGGGTGTATAAATATTTTTTTAATTCAGTTCTAGGAATGCGGGAGGGAAATTTTTATATTCTTGGAATATACAATGGGAATATATAATCCAAAGTGTGTTTTCCAGTTCACACTAAGATCAGACTTAATGTACTATTTTTTTTTTTGTTAAAGAAGAAAAAACAAAGTGGGAAGAACAGGATTTTCCTAATTTGCGTCTATACATTTATCTGCTAAAAAGATCAAAATAGGATGGTTCTCTGAACATAATATGACAGTGACTAAGGGCATTATCCTGCTCCCAGTGAAGTCACAAGCAAAACTCCCACCAACATCAATATGAGCAGGAATGGGCCAAAACTAAGTACACAAGTAGCACATTTCCAGTATTGTCAGAACAACATCCCTGATTCCCCAACAGATTCATTCCTATCTTGATAAGGAAAAGTGAGACAACCCTTTAAAAATAGAATCCATCATATTGAAATTTACAGGTGACCTGCTGTTTGCATCATGAGTACAATAGATAGAACCTGAATTAAAGTCAACCATGACTCACTATTATGGTTAAAAATAATTTGCTATAGAACTTTCAGTGATTAGGCAAGTAACTAAGAAGAGAAGGAATTGAAAATGGTCAAATTCAAAACAAAATGGGGAAAAACAAAATGGTTCTAAAAGGTACAGACCATATTTAGGAGTGAAGTGAGCTTTTTCTGAGTAGGAAAACCAGGAGATAATGACTGGCAAGTACACCATGGCATGTGAAGAGTGGTCTGCATGTGTAAAATTCTCTCTACTCCGCGAACTCAGAACTAATAGTCATTTCTGCTGCTTCATGAGACAGAGTGAAGACCGGAAATAGGACTGCCTGAGTGAAGAGCAGAGATTGAAGATAGGAGTCTTTAACTAACTTTTATTTTAATTTTTATACATTAATAGCAGGTGCAAAAAAGCCACTTATAATTTCTATGCTGGAGTTCCTTCCAAAGTGCCAGATTCAGTCATTTGTTTTGGACAAAATCCTATGCAAATCCTTTCTAAAAGGCAGATGGCTTTCTGCTGGGAAGCAAGAACTTGATATTCGCCGAAGACCAAATCTTGGACCCCACTGCACTTAATGGGATTTTTGTCTGAGTAAAGACTGTAGGATCTGCCCCTTAAGACTAAATCCTGCATTCCCAATTTGGTACTTATTCAGGTAAAACTTTGATATCTATGAGAGTTTAGCCCAAAAAAGAACTGATTAAGGGCTTCAGAGTTTGACTCTTGTTGTATCTAGTTCTTTGGCATCCCAACCTCTCCAAGCTCATCATCAGAAGCAAGCTCCACACAGACCAGGACACACCAATACAAAGAATCACCAGTCTCTGCCTGAACAACAGATGGAAAAACTGCAGACATATCTCCACTGCTACAATGATCAACACCCCTCACAATACACCTTTCAAGATCCATGGTTACTACACATGCCTATCTCAACATGTGGTGTACCTCATCCAAGGTACTAAATGCCCCAATAGCAACTATGTAGGTGAAATCGGACAATCATTACGCTCTCAAATGAACTCACACAGGAAAAAGATAAAAGACAAATACACTATCACCTTGGGTGAACGTTTTTCACTAAATGAAGAGCCTCTATAGATCTGATCTAACAGTCCTCATCCTCAAAGGAAAGCTGCACAACACTTTCAAAAGATGAGCCTGAGAGCTTAAATTAATAACTTTGCTAGATACTAAAAATCATGGACACTGGAATCATGGAAGAGAGAGCCTGGATTTATGGTTTATTACAACAATCTATAACCCACTAACAAACCGCACCCCTCAGCTGCTTTTTTCCCTCCCCCTCCCTTTCTTTCCTCCCTATGATTGGAGCGGTGCTAATGGGCCACATCACGTTGAAATATGTGTTAACTACTTATGCTAAACAATCTATTACACATTGTATTTAGCTGTGACACTCTGATTATGTTTTCCGGACCTGAAGAAAAGCTCTCTGTAAGCTTGAAAGCTCATCTCTCTCAACAAGAGAAGTTTGTCCAATAAAAGATATTAACTCTCCCACCTAGTCTCGCTCAAATCCTGGAACCAACACAACTACAACAAACCTTTTATCAACACATCCCTGTCTTTTTAGAAGCTTATTATCTTTTGCGTGTGTGTTTTTTGTTCAGGGGTTACCTGGAAGTTAACTGGAAGTTGAGAGCTTAAATAATAGAGTTTGTAACTAAATTCTGGCTATGAAAGATGGAAACCTGATTTTTGTGATACTTGCATTTTATAAAAAGTCAGCTGTACGGACATGTCACTGTGAGCAAATCCTGAAAGATGATTTTGGTGAGACTCAGGGAAATGTCACAGGAGAGTTTTGGCAAAGGAGGGGTTGGGAGAGGTTGAAAGTAAAGGGTATTCACACTTCTTTTGCATTTTTTATACTTCTGTTTTTTCTTGTTCCCGTTCCTCATTTTTTCTGCATCTTTCAAGCTTTTTGTCCCTTTCCTTTTCCCTCCCTTATCTTCACCATACCACATTTCCCTCCTGTCTCTGCCATACATATTAATTCTGCAATGGAAAACCTTATCTCTGGCAAGTCTTGATTTTTTTAGTTCTTTATATTTGCAACCTTAATATTTGAATGTGGTGTTTATGAGAGAAGGCATTTACTGTAGATGCCGAGATTTACACTACTATTTGTTTATCATTACCCAACTATATAGCCTTATCATGCAAACATCTAAGAGAGAAATCTTTTATCTGGTTTTGCTATAAGGTCAATTAATTATGCTGTCTGGTAGGCCATTTCCCTGCTCCCAAGATAAAGGCGTTTGGGTGATGATGCTGAAGAAACAGATCCTTCACTTCCTTTTTCTTTGCTCCATGGTAATAGACTTCCAGTTGTCTGAAGAACAGACAGGAGGTGGGGTTAATTTTACATTTGAGAGACCAGCAGGAGTTCTTGGGGTCTGAGATTGCTGGAGAGCAGCAGGCTCTTACAATGCCCTCAGTTACACCTGTACAATTCTTCTGTGATGTAGCTACGATGCAGATTCAATGCATGAACTAGTGTTTACAAACCAAGAGGTTATTAAATAGTTTTTCCCACTAGTGGCCCAGTCACTAATTGTGTTCGGATAATATTTTGTTATTTCTTTTTTGGATTGCTAAGTATGCACTGGAAATTCAGATCAAACAATTCTAATGTATGTGTACTTTTAGCTCTCCTGCTGGGTAAATCTTTTCTTAGTATGATGGAAGATTATAACCCTTTTAAGAGGAACTAATCTTGCAGTTTCCCTTGAATGACATTTGCACAGGTATTTGGGGGCTAGGGAAAGGTGTGTGTGGAAATGTAGGGAGGACATTAAGGAATGTGATGCCTCCCAACATCTCTTGCACAATGTGGGGGAGGGAGTCACAGTGCTTCCTCCTACTGCCCCAAAGATGCAAAGTATCCCAAATGCAATGGGACACTGTAGGAGTGCCCTGTCACTGGGAGCAGCCTGCAAAAGTCCTTCTATGTGCTGGGGACCTTCATCTTGCACAGTCTGTCTATATATAAAATTTCCCCACTGAAGTTCACTAGAAACCCACGGGTATTTCAAAAATGTTTTTTCTTAAAGTAAAGCAACACTGTACTTAATACTAATTGCTTAGGAGGGGAAACACAGCTATTTACATAAAACAATTTACACCCACTTATCATATATGATAGGAAATAACTGACAAAAAGAACAGAAGATAAAGACAGGTGTTTAACAGATGAACTTTTATCTTTCAGCTCCCTTCATTTGAAACAGAACCCCTGATAAACTAAGAAGCTCCACTACCAACCACTTGTCTTGAAACATTTTGAATATTAAGTCTAAAACACATAATAAATATTTGTAATTATGACCATGTAAACTGACAGAACTTGCATACTAAAATATGATTCATATCCAAATGAATATATTAGTATCCTGTATGTCTGTCTTAAATGATAAAAGAACAAAAAAGGAGCACAATATGCTTGCTCCCATGATGGAAATGGTCATACAGAGCCCATCTATAGAATATCACTGGACATCCACTGCATAGTCAGTCTAGCCAATTCACTGATTGCAAACCTTTTTTGTTTTTGTGATCTTCACCTGGTAGTTCTGCAGACAGACATTTTTCCTTTGGTGTCGTTTTGTTTTGAGAGGTTGCAGGTGATCCTCTATTGTTTTTCCCTGCCTGGTTTTGAGCAATGCTACTGCAGAAAAGCCTGTTACTATGCACATCAATTTGTTTACTAGACAGCTGTGGAGTGCTAGGAGTTCTGTTACTCTTCTCTCTATTTGCAGGATGTGGCTGTACTTGCACCCTATTGAGTACCAGGTTCTGCATTCCCTTCAACAGCTCTGCTTCCTTCCTCTTATTTTCTTCTTCACGTTTCCTATAATTAAAGTCAATATTATAAATATTAACAAAGACCAAATATTACAGCATGTTTCTGAAAATTATTCCATCATCAGTGGAAACTTGACATAAATCACAATATGAACTTGATATTCTAGGTTTTTCATGCTTTTATTTTCAGCACTGCCCCCTAAAGGAACAGGTGCGTATGGCGCTGAAACATCTCTGCTTGACAAAATGTAACAACTGAATTTGGACAGTAGCTGAATTAAGGAAAATTAATATAAGTTGGGTTTAAGTCTAAGTCACAGAGGTTTGAAACATTTTAAGGAAATAGATTTAGCAAACACACCTTAGTTAAACTGCTGGAACTTTTTATAAAGTCAAGGTCCCAAAAATAGAAACCACAATCAGAATTAAACCTCCCTTTTTGTTTTAGTTTTATTGAAAAAACCTTGATGTTTACTTGTTTAAAAGCTCTCTTATGAATCTTTTACTAAAAAAAATACACTGACATAAACCGGGGCAAGTCTACACATGCAAAGAAATAGTTGTAATACAAATTAAAATATCTGTATAAAATGAAGAAATAATCTGAAAACAAGTAACACTTAGAAACACTGCAAATGAATCCACAAAACATTTTACTTTACTTTTTTAACTTTTTATGTTAATTGTGTTAATTGTTAACATTAACATATACAAACTTTCAACACAAATAATAAATCTTATTCATAACCTGTACTGTTACCTTTAAAAGACTGATTTGTGTTTGATCAATCTCTTATTATCTATATATTTATTTTGTTCAAATTCCAAAAATGGTAACCATATATTATAAAAACTACTTGATCCTGATATAAAGCTGTCTGCTTTTTTTTTCCATTGAAGCAATTTCCCATACTTTATTTCTTCATGCCACCAATGCTATTATTAGAACTAGTACTTATTCTGCAGTAGCGTCTAGAGGCCCCGGCCAGGATAAGGCCCCATTGTGCTAGGAACTGTACAAACACATCAGACAACATGATTCCAACTGCAAAAGGTTGAAAATATAATGTAAAAGAAGGCACAAAGTGAGTGAACAAACAATAGGAAAGAATGGGGGGAGGGGAGACGAACAGTCACATGGTTATGTAGGCTATAAATAAGCAAATGTGCATAGCTTGATTATTCCAATTCTGTTCAAAGGCCTTTTCTCTTTTATTAAATAATTAATAAATTGAATCAGCTATCGCCAGCTGCTGTACAATCTACCCATCATTAGTTGGCCAATTTCTTGTTCCAGCAGAAGTGGATCTTAAGGTAAAAGAGGAATTTAGAGGTGGAGATGGTCATGTTCAGCTCAGGTTCAGGGAGGGCATTCTGCATGTAGGTGGCATCATGGAAGAGAGCGCAGATCATTGTGGGAGAAGCAGCTGGGTGTTTAAGGCTGGCAGAGTGGAGAGGGAAGGGAACACCATGATCAGACAACATTTTTCAAAAGTACTTCTAACATTTTGCTTCTCTGTTGTCTTTCTCATCTATTTAAGTGGGAAGCTCTTTGGGACAGGAACCATCTCTCCTGTTCGGTGTATGCACGACTAACACAATGGGCCCCAATATTGACTGAATGACAATATGGTGCCTATAGTCCCAAAATAATAAATAGAAGAGTGGAAGGAAAGGTGAGGACAAGAAGCTTGATTTAGAGGCAGTATGAAATGGGGTGCCAGAGTTGAGATTCAAACAGGCAATCAGAGCAACAGACAAGGAGTAAGATCCTAGTAGCTGTGTTTTGAATTAATCATGAAGCAGTGCTTCAAATCATGTGGGTAGTTCAAATCATATAGCCTTCCTTTGCAAAAATTGATGTATGTTATACAAATGCAAAATATTTAAAACCAGATATGTGAATTCAAAAGTTGTGTACACTTATTTTACCCATAAAATAATATATTTGATTTTAAAAATGGAGTCTTTGAAAATAAACATTGGATAGGTATGAAAGATGATTCTGACCAAGATTAAAAATAAATACAAGTGGAATTGCACCACTCTGAAGGTTTTTCCTCAGAAGTGGAATAAATCCCATAATCTGTGGCAAACATTATCGTGCACTTGTTTTTATAAATAGAAAACTAAGCTGTGGTTATAAAATAAAGTGACAATTCTTCCTATAAAAATGGACAGGTGGTAAATGTCAGATCATGTAGCCCTCTGATATTTTAATTTGCTTCCAATGCTGTAACATGGTTTGTGGACTGTTGACACATTAGCTCACAGCACAGCATATGACAGGTTAGTTATGCAGCATGTCATCATCAGTTCCTGTGATTCATATCAATGCCAGTATGTGTCATTTCAGTGTGATCTGTCAGGGAGAAGCCTTAACTTTATCTGTCACTGCTATCTTAGCATGTATGTTCTGCAGAAGAAGCTGATTGAACCCGGGTGCCTGAAATCCTGCTAATGGATCTACAAACTGCACTCCTGGCAGATTGAGGTACTTCAGCATTCCCTCCGGCATTGATAACAGTGGCTGGTTTCAAATAATAATATTGGCATTGCACAAACAGACAACGTGTGGGTGTCTGTCTCATGTACAGTATAGATCTCACTGCCGTTACTCTGCCATTTGATCTGATAAATTAGACCTTACTATTCATGGAACAGTCATTTTCCTTTCTTCCAGAGAATCAAACAGCCTACTACTTGAATCCACAATTCAGTCCATAAAAGAAATGACACAGGCAATATACAATCAACCCAGGAGTAGCCTGAACCTTGTCACTCTGAATTCAAGTCTATCTGTTGACTAGCAGAACACCACAAAAGATCGTAACTGCAACACTAGGCTAATTATAAAACTGACATTGGACTGAGAAGGGGGGAAAGAAATGATGGGTTTTCTTTCTGTAGAGGTATTTTATGCCAGTTTTACCTCAGAGTTATGTGGCACTGTCACTCTCCCTCAGTCCAATCAGGAGAGTTTACCTTGTGGTTTATTTTATTTATTTTGAGATTAAATTCAATTTATTTTACACTGCGCCAAAATCTTCAATTGGAATGTGCTGTAGAATTTTGTATTGAAAATCCATTATTACACTGTAGAAGTTGTTGAGGGGAAGCTGGATGTTTTGACTGCTGAATAGGAGACAGTTGGGTCTTTTGGCGCCCACGAAGGCACAGAAGGTAGTTTGAGTTTTTTGACAAACAAGAGTAAATTCAGGCTTTGTTATTCGGTAAAAGATGCTTCTCCTTCTCCTTCTCCTTTCCAGGGAGGAGAGGAGGTGATTTTAAATTTTGGAGGTGGCAGGTGTAGAATTCCTCATTCCCCACACCTCAACAGTAACCAGTTACATCTCTGAGCCCTGCCCTGACATCTGCCACTACATCCAACAACAGAGAAGTATATTAGCTTGATATTTATGATAATTAATGCATCAGAAGTGAAATAGTTAATAACATTTCCACTTAAGCTGTCCTTGTTATGTTTCATTGTTAACAACCCATTGAGATGAATGGGCAGTTCACACCTCTCAAAGCTCAAGGTGTCTGCAGACTCCAGAGGACAATAAATTTATACTTAGTTCATATATTTGTAAGCAAAAGAGATGTAAAACAAAGAGTGGATTCTGGAACAAAATTAAGTAGCAAATTCTAAAAGATGGATTATTGTTTTCTCTATCTTGTTCCCTTAAATGTAGAGAGGTCTCCCTATAATAAGGGAGGACAGCTGGAAGAAAATGCAATTTTCAGTTTCAATTCATGTGCAAAATGTTAGAGAGTCATTCACTACATTCTTATTCTCACAGAGAAATTATATCAAATACCCTCATCTATTTTTCTTAATCTGAAATAAAATTCATCTAGGCTAAAAGATATATGTTTTGCTCTTTGTGTATGGGTAATCATTACAAAAAAAGTAAATTGGGTTTTTAGATTTGTTCAATTTAGTCTATGGTATTAGTAATATAATTATGGATTTTTTTATTTACCTGAATGACCTACATTGACAGTGGCCCTTTAATTGAAAATGGTATTGAAGAGTAACACTAAAATGACAGGATCTCAAAATAAACAGGGGCCCTGATAGACTTTGAGTTCCAGAGCACTTCTACTGCCAAAGTGATTCCAGGCAATCCACCACCTATGTCTGGAGCTGCAGTCTCAATCTTCAACCACAGCCCAAATATGCCTGAGTTTGTGAGACCATATGGCCGCATGCACACAGGTAGTTCAATATGCCTCTTCAGATGTGACTGAAGTTAGTCTATGGTTCAAATTGCTATCTCTTGGATACATTGGTCTAACCTCCTGCATGGATTCTGGGTTCCTTTCAGTGGTGGCCGGTTCAGGACAATGTGTGCAAAGTTGTTCCTTTCAGTCAGCTTCCACCGACCAGGACTATAGTCACTGATGCCTCCTTAATAGGTTGGGGAGCACATCTGGGGTCGCTGAAAAGGCCTTTGGTTAGCATGAGAAGCTTCTCTGCATATCAATGCCTGTCTGGCCTTTCAAGGTCACATCATGTGCTCAGCAGTTCTCATACTCACCAACAATACCACCATGATGTGTTCTCAGGAGGCAATCAGGCTCTGGCAGTTTTGCATCTGGGAAAATTTTACCCCTGGGGCCAAATGCTGACTTGGGACCCATAACCACCTGGTAGATCACCTCAGCAGGAATTTCTCCCTGACTCACGAGTGGTCTCTGAAACCCAGTGTCCTTTCGGGCATCCCGATGATCAACCTGTTTGTCACAAGAACAGAAAAGAAAAGCAACCTGTTCTGCTCCCGAGGGGATCCTTAGTCCAGTCTCCTTGACTGAGGCTTTCCACCTGAACTGGGAATCTGGACTCCTGTATGCCTTTCCTCCAATTCCAATCATCCCACAGGTCCTTCTTAGGCTGAAATTGGATTGTGCCAAGCTCATTCTTATTGGTCCAGTGTGGCTGAGGCAACGTTGCTTCTCCGACCTCCTCACATTACTGGTTCAGCCTCCCATATTCCTTCTTTTTCATCCTGACCTCCTGACTCTGCACCAGGGTTAGGT